TAAACCCTAAACCCTAAAGGAGCGAGGCATGGGCTCGCCTTCGCATGGCACGCACACTCTCAGCCGCGGTGTCGCATGCGGCACTTGGGCTGCAGGCTATCTATCACCCAGAGACTCCAAAACCCCTTAATTAAGGAATATACCCCAAATTATATTAGGATCCCTAGTGTAATTTAAGGTCTATTCCTGAATTAAGGGGTTTTGGAGTCTCTGGGCAGTAGTGGCTTTCATGCCCTGTAGAACCCTTATCAAAAAACATGAAAAAAGCCTCCTCAGGCACGCCCTTAAGGAAGCCCTAACACCCTGATCCCCTGCACCACAAACCCTCCCCCGAAGCGCTGAAACCCTACACCCTAAACCTCAAAACCCTACAGAACCCTCCACCATGAAACCCTAAACCCTAAACCCTAAACCTTAAACCCTCAAACTCTAGAGCCTCAAACCTGCTATCCTTAAAGGAGACCCCTTAATCCCTAAACCCTAAGCCCTAAACCCAAAAGCCCTAAAACCCTAAGCCCTAAAACCGCCGGGGGCCTGATTGAAGGCGTGACACCTCGCTCCGCGAGAGGTCGCCTCGGGAAGCTTCCACCTGCACCTGGGATCAGAGACTCCGCATTGGGGATTACGGTTTTCATAGGGTCACGGTTTAGGGTTTAGGGTGTAGGGTTTAGGGTGTAGGGTTTAGGGATTAGGGTCTCATAGGGTTTTATAGGGTTTATAGGGCCTTTGTGGGATTAGGGTTTAATAGGGTTTGATAGGCCTTAGTAGGGTTTACACAGCTTACAAGTTCTCTCGGGTTTGGGGATTGCCGTTACTACCACCACGATTGCCATGACTACGAGTATTGCTATCGTTACCATTGCCAGTCTCACGATCATACGATTCGTACTACTATTGCTGCTATGGCTGCTATAATGGTAGTACTATAACTAGTACTGTTTTTGTTGGGCTTACCTAGACCCTAGAAAACCAGACAACCTACCTTCTTAAGGTGCCTTACTATGATTTCCTTATGTAAAGTCTTTAACAAGGTAGGTTATTTAGGGTTAGGGTAGAATGGAGGGCTAAGGTTTTACTAGGGTCTTTAGGTTTGTGTACCTCAGAAAACTCTTTATACTATTGGTGCTTTGGTTTGTCTGTTTCTTGTTTTGTTAAGTTTTGAGAGTTTTCGGGCTTGGGGGCTAGGACTAACGCGGTGTAGATATTCTACCCAGGCCCAGACCCTAAACCCTAAACCCTAAACCCTAAACCCTAAACCCTAAACCCCAAACCCTAAACTGTGGGATGTATGTAGGCACCCTTAGGCCCTGACACTGCAAACACAGGGGTCTGATGCAAAACATCAGAATCAAATAAACACCAGCAGCCTATTGTAATGATTAAGGCGCCTATGTTAAACCCTAAACCCCTACCCCGTACATGCGAAACGCTGAACCCTTATATTCTTATATAAAGGAACCGTGGAAAGAAGCCTTAGAAACCCTTCAAGGAACCGCCGCTGAAACCAACAAAACCCTTTGAGCAAAACCTACAGACGCCTGTGAAACGCTAAAAGAACCCTGAACCTAAACCCTGAACCCTAAACCCTAAACCGCTAACCCCAATATACCCCAAACCCTAAACCCTTTAAAGCCCTCCAAATAAGGAACCCTAAACCCCCCCCCCCCCTGCGCAGAGGCGCCTCGGAGAGATGCGCCTTCAACTGCTGGTTCCTCCGCTCTGACTCCTGAAGCTTTGCCTGCAAGTCCTGCGCAGATTTAAAAGGAAAACTGGGTTCTTGAAAAGATTTAATTTAAGTTGCCATAATAAGGAAACCGTATTATTTACTATAGATCCCCAGTATGGTAACTTAAATTAAATCCCTTAACAAGAACCCAGAAAAGGCCTCTTTAGGGTTTACCGTAAGCCTAAACCCCACACTCTGAGCTCTTGTAGATCCCTTATATAAGATTTAGAGGTAAGACCGGACCCTTATAGGACCCCTCAACCCCTAAACCCTAAACCCCTTAAACCCTAAACCCCTAAACCCAAAGCCCTATACGCCCTAAATTTACAACGCTAAGGATCTTACAAGGGCTGTCTAGGGGCTAGCCTCATGGCTCTTAACACGGATAACAAGGACGGCACTGCTTCTTTATCAGGGTCTTAAAGGATTTGGTTTAGGGCTGAAGGTTGGGGTTGCAGGGTTTAGGGTTTGGGGTTTAGGATCCCTAAACCCTAAACCCTAAACCCCAAACCCCAAACCCTAAACCCCAAACCCTAAACCCTAAACCCCAAACCCTAAACCCTGAACCCGAAATCCCAAGGGTAAGGAATCTAATTACATAAAAAAAAATTATGTTTGAATTTGGGGTCTCCGCGCTTGGGGGTTGAAATGTTCACGGGTTGGCAGTTGAAGGTCGGTCCTTGGAAGTCGCATGGGTTTAGGGTTTAGGTTTAGGGGTTTAGGGTTTAGGGTTTAGGGTTTAGGGTTTAGGGTTTAGGGTTTAGATCCCCTCAGAAATCCTGAAGAAAACTACGCCTGGAAGAGCCTGTCCGCAAGCAGTTAGGGTTCGCTCTTTTGCTTCATGTTTGGCTTCGGCTACGGCTACGGCTTCGGCATTGCAGGCTTCAGAACTAACCTCATCCACATGCCTCTGGAAACCCATCGTCCACCCCCTAGAACTTAATACCGCCTTGCAGACCTAGACACCGCAACGGCCGTCTGTTCGACACTGAAATGGCGTCTGCGACAAGCAGCTCGACCGGGTCGCGGGAAACCCCTTCCCAAAGCCACAAGCCCACAAGCACAAAACCCCTGAACCCTCACACCCTAAACCTCAAAATCTATAACCCAACACCCTTATGCTGCAAGCCTTCAACAAACTCTAAACACTCAAATCCCTACAACAAAGATGAGAAACAAAAAGAACACACACCTAAACCCTAAACCCTAAACCCTAAACCGTAGACGGCCTTCATTCGGGGTGACAGGCGCGTCACAGCCCCTCGGCCGGGCGAAAGCCTTGCGGCTTCGGGTTCGGGTTTCAAGCGTTAAGTGCTTAGGATTTAGTTAGGGTTTAGGGTTTAGGGTTTAGGGTTTAGGGTTTAGGGTTTAGGGCTTAGGGCTTAGGGTGTAGGTTTACAGCCTTGGGTTTAGGGTTCGGGTTTCTTGCTTCCGAAATCCCTAGACCCTCTCGCAGCCCTCCAGACCCGCGAGACCTTCTGAACCCTATCAGCCCCCACAAATTCAAGCGTTCAGAGAGACGTTGGTACCATACCATGCTATAGCCCTCCCTAAACCCTAAACCCTAAACCCTAAACCCTAAACCCTGAACCCAGTAAAAGCAGACCCAAGACCGGGATATTGAGCGTACCCGGGAACCCTGAACACGGTTTAGGGTTTAGAGTTTAGCTCAATAGCGCTTCTCTTCAGACGTTTTGTACATTGAAAGCCCCGTCCGACACCCCGTGAACAATTTCAGCCGAGGCCCTATAGCCTAAACCCTATAAACCCTAGAGGGCCTGATGAGTTCCTAAAGAACCCTAAATGTTCATGAACCCAAAGAGTATGTACTGCTATAAAGGGACTATATACTTTGAGGTATATATACTTTGAGGCCAAAGTAAACGATATGTGAATACATGGACCCTTAGGGCAACAAACCTTAGACCCTTGAACCCCTAATGCCCAAACCTGGAAACTCAACTCCTATGCCAACGTAGACCCTATAATCTTGATTTCTAGACTACTTGCAGGACCTTGCATCCCAGATTGTTAATATTTATAAATATGGATAGCTAGTGCATTCGCAGGAAGGCGTATTTACGGACCGCTCAAAAAAAACACAAAAAGGTGCACGCCCAGGGTTCCCCGGACTTGAAAATGCAAACGCAGTATCCTTCAAAATCCTTCAAAACCTGACGAACCTTCTGAGCCGTGAACCCTAACATTCTAAGCTTTTCTGCTAGTCTAAACCCTATAGTTAAGCACAAAGCCGTACACTTCAAAAAGCTTACTAGAGTTCTAAGCACTAAACCCTCAACATGAAGCCACCAAGCCCGTTGGCCGGAAACTCTTGGCGTTATACACGCCGTCTCGGCCTAAACATAAAGCCCAAAGCCCTAAAGCTAAGCCCAAACCCCTAAACCCTAAACCCTAAACCCTAAACCCTAAATCCTAAATTCGGCCCGAAACCCTAAACCCTAAACCCTAAATCCTAAACCCTAAACCCTAAACCCTAAACCCTGAACCCTTCAGAATCCTCTGAGGGCCCAGCATGGCCACTCGCGGCACGAGCGCTGGAGGCGTCTCCCAATAGGGTTTAGGGTTTAGGGTTTAGGGTGTAGGGGTGTTGCTTTTTCTGTCTGGTGCTTAGTAGGGAATGGGGGAATGGGTGATAGGGACTTTTATAAGGGACCTTAAGGGACTATCATAGGGATCCATTCCCCCATTCCCTACTAAGCACCAGACAGTTTTATTGCAGCTTCGCTCTTCAAGGTTGAATGCCCCTAAACACTAAACCCGGTTTAGGGTTTAGGAGGGCTCAGGGAGCCCTACCCTAAACCCTAAACCCTAAACCCCAAACCCCTAAACCCTAAACCCTAAACCCAGGGTTTAGACGTGGGGCTTAGAAACTTAAAGGGGTCTTTAGGCGCCCTTCAGGCTGCCTCAACGAACCATGTGACTGAGCCAGTGGGGATTGTAAGTCAAGCTATATGTATGTATAAGTAATTAAATAAATAAATATATGTGTATATATATACACCTATTTACTTATACATGTTTACATATTCATTTATTGCTTTACTTATTGCTCTATCTACGTGTAACCCGTGTTGTGGAACTACAACCCACAAGACTCACTATTTCCCATAATCTTCGGTTACCCCTGCTGCAGGAACCCAGAACCAAAACAAGCGAGCAAAGAGACATCCTGCTTCCTCCACTTTCAACTCTAACCCCTGCGTCCCACATCCTACATCCCAAACCCTAAATCCGAACTCCCCCCCTCAAAAAAAACAGCCCAAGCAAGCCACCTTAGTCAAGATCGCCACGGGCCTAGGTAGCCTCCAGACCTTCGAACGCGACAGAGGTGCCAAAAAGGGCTCTTCATGGCCCCTAAACCCTAAACTCCCTAAACTCCCTAAACCCCTAAACCCTCAACCCCTAAACCCTAAACACCCTAAACCCTAAGCCGTTTAGAGGGGTTCTGTTTGGGCGGTTTGAGTCATTGATTGAGGATGGTCGATGGTTCACGAGAACAGCGGTCTCCGAACCGTCCTCCCAGGAAAGAGCGTCTGGTGCTTAGTAGGGAATGGGGGAATGGGTTATAGGGACTACTATAAGGGACCTTATAAGGGACCATGATAGGGATCCACTCGCCCATTCCCTACTAAGCCCCAGACAGAAGAGCTGCCTGTTTTTGCTTTCCGGAGGGCCGTCGTCTGTACTGGGTTCAGGGGTTTAGAGTTAGGGGTTTAGGGGTTTACTAAACCCCATAAACCCTAAACCCCTAAACCCTAAACCCTAAACCCTAAAAATCCACTAAACCCCTAAACCCTAAATTAGGGTTTAGGGACCAACGCCCATCTGCCATGAAGCCTCCGGAAACACGTGCTCATCTGCCACCTTCGCCTGGATCTGACTGAGCTCCGACTGGCTGTAAGCCCGTAAACCCCTAAACACTAAACCCTAAACTAACCCTACACCCCTAAACTAACCCTGAACCCCAAATCCCTAACCCTAAACCCCTAAACCCTAAAGCCCTAAACACCCAAACCCCTAAAGCCCTAAACCCTAAACCCTAAACCCCTAAAGCCCTAACCCCTAAACCCTTAAACCTTAAAGGATCCTTTAGGGGCTTCTAGGGGGGGGCGGGGGGGGTCGTCAACATTTCCAGAAGGCCCTGCTCCTCGTCGTAAGCCCCACAGGAGCGTTGAAACAACTGAGCTACACACAACTCCCAAAAAAGGTTGAGGGTTTAGGGTTCTCTTTTCTTAGGCTTTGGGGGTGTAGGGTTTAAAGTATTTCAGTCAGGGGCTTTAGGGCTTTGCGGGTTTAGGGTTGATGGTATTTGTTTAGGGGTTTCACGGCTTTGGGGGTTGAGGGTTCGCGGTGTAGTGCGGAGATCTGATAGCACCATGGTATAAGACCCCTACCCTAAACCCTAAACCCTAAACCCTAAACCCTAAACCCTAAACCCTAAACCCTAAGCCATGACTTCATGCAACTTCCTACAACAAGGGGAAGGCCAGTCTCTGCAATGCCATACAGCTGCAGGCGGCGCCCTCCCTACCAAACAGACCTCAAAACCCCCAGAGAGCACAAACAATGCCACGGGGGTTTAGGGTTTAGGGTTTAGGGTTTAGGGTTGCCACAAGTTCCATAGCTGCAAAGCATGCAGACCCTAAGCCCTAAACCCTAAACAAACCCGGCAAGCCTGCAACTCCTTAAAGAACCCAAGAAAATCCAAAACCCGAAACCCCTAAACCCCTTAACCCCTAAACCCTAAACCCTAAACCCTAGATGGAACCCTACACCCCGTCAACACACTGAGCCCTCGGTCGCCGACCCGCAGGGTCTTGTCGTGACCTCAAACGGTTTAGGGTTTAGGGGTTAGGGTTTAGGGGTTTAGGGGTTTAGGGTTTAGGGTTTAGGGTTTAGGGTTTAGGGCTTAGGGTTTAGGGTTTAGGGTTTAGGCCCAAATGTTTCTAAGTACCTATATATTAAAGGAAACTACAGGTGGGGAGTTTAGGGTATATAGGGCTTCTATAAGGCTTTTAAAAAGTATATGGACCTTCTATGAGGCTCCTATAACGGTAATTACCCACCTGAAAATGTCCTAGACTATATACTATATAGTCGAGGTATCAGGGTTCAAGGTTTGGGGTTCAGGGCTTAGGGTACCTATATAGTAGAATGTAGAGCTGATCGTAGAGCTTCTATATTCGGAATCATGATTATGATTTGGGAAAGTATGCCCCATAACTGTACCTAAGACCCTTTGGGAAGGCAAACCCAAAACCCTAAAACCTAAACCTAAACCCCAAACCCCAAACCCGAAACCCTAAACCCTGTGAGCTGTTGGAAGCAAAAGGCTCGGGAATTCTGATTTGTGGGTTTGGACTGGAGCTCCGAGGGTGTTTTGAGGATTTAGGGTTTAGGATATAGGGTTTAGCGTTTAGGGTTTAGATTTATATGGTCGTGTGGTGTCTCAGCCTTATAGAGTTCTATAGGGTTTCATGGGTTCTTATACGGATTTCGGGTGGGTTTTTTGGGGCTTCAGGAGCCGTGCAGAGTGTGAAGAAGATGGTTGCTCGGCTGGAAGAAAGCCTTCCGGTTTCTTGTCGGGTGTCGTCGGAGGACAGATACGGAGCTTACGAAGCAAGTTGCCCCTAAACCCTAAACCTTAAACCCTAAACCCAAAGCCCTAAACCCTAAACGCCTAAACCCTAAACCTCTAAACCCTAAACCCGAAGCCCCTAAAGCCTAAGCCTTAAGCTTCGTGTCTGTTGCTGGGTTGCTGGCTCTGCTTCCAGGAGCAGGGGGCATGGCAAGGGTCGGTGAGTAAGATGACCATTTAGGGTTTCAGGGTTTCAGGGTTTAGGGTTTAGGGCTTCAGGGTTTAGGGTTTAGGGTTTCAGAGTTTAGGGTTTCAGGGTTTAGGGTTTAAGGGTTTAGGGTTTAAGGCAAGTTTGGGGTTTAGGGTTTCAGGGTTTAGGGTTTAGCGTAGGAAAAAGAACAGATTATAAGACAATATGATATCATATTCT